AAGCACTGGCACTGATGCACAAATGGATAGTAAAAGTAAACTAGGATCCCACTACTCACGATGTCCCTGGATGGATGGATGCCTCCTTCCAATATCAGACAGACCGCCTCCCGTGAACTTCCAGACTCGATCCTCAGTGAAATCCCTTGATCAGCTCAAGCTATTCTCAGAAAGTAGGCCCCTCAGCTCTAGCTTAGCTGGGACCATGGTAAGCTCCTGTAAAAACCTCAACTGCACTGCCCAGAAGGGCAGCAGTCCCTTAGGCTGGGAACTTCTCCTCCTGGACAAGAACAGGGTTGCTTCCGGACTATTTATGCACTCTTCAGCCTCCTACTGTGCATTCTCCTCCAGGGATTGGCCAAGACCACATAAATATTCAGGCTGTGTGCCTACCTCTTCCAGCCCATTACATTCTGGAACCATCAGAAGGCATGGCAAGCAGTTTAGCCAGAAGCGTAACTATAACCTTTAGGGCTCCAGTGCAAGAAACCATGCAGGGGCCCCCTGACCCAGTCCCAGGGCCCTTTCCATCGGTTTTGAGTTCCTTGCCACTGGTCCTTGGGCCCTTTTCACTGGTCCAAGATCCCACTGGCTGGTCTCTTTTGAGCCTGGGGCCCTTCCCTTCAAGCCCAGGGCCCTTTCCTTTGGGCCTGGGGCCCTTTACTCCCATCATTGGGCACTTTATTATGATCCTGCAGCAGGACCCTTTTACATATTCTGCAGCGGACCCTCTTCCTGGTGTCTTGGGGCCCCCGCACAGTGGTGGAATACCACAGCCCAGTCACAAGTGCAATCTTTTAGACCCTGGTAGTTCCGTCGCTGAGTTGAGCCTACAGCATGTGAAGTCTACCACAACCCAAAATAATCACACACCGCTCCACTGATTACAGAGGAGCTAAAAAAAAAACTAAATTTACCTAGCCTCTCTAGCAACCTGCCTAGCTGAGTGCTACAGAAGAGTAGATGATGAGCAGCCAAGAGTCGGTAACGAATGGTAGCAAAGATAAGGACTGCATGTATACAAAGAGCAAGATGTCAGCTGGAGAAAACACAAAAGTCTGGTGAACAGGAAATTAAGAGACATGGCCTAAATCAGGAAGTTCATTGGAGGCAGGGGCGGACTGACCATTTGGAAACCGACCGACAACTCATGGGGCCCCCGGGCAATAGGGGATCGTGGGGCCATTGTGTCCTTGCCCAAACTCAAAAAAGCCTATGAAAAAGGTACCAGGGGCCTCTCATGGGGCTCCCTACTGACCCCGGGCCCTCAGGCAGTGCCCGAGTTTCCATATGGTCAGTCCATCCCTGTTTGTAACCCTAACACTGATCCTCACTATAAGCCTAGCACCAAATATCCCTGTAACCCTGATCTGAATTGCACAGGAGCGCACTATGTGTTCCTGTACAATTCATATGCTGGTCCAGGGGTGGACTGACCATTTGGAAGCTCGGGCACTGCCCGAGGGCCAAGGGTCAGTAAGCGGCCTCATGAGATGTCCCTGGTACCTTTTTCATAGGCTTTTTGAGTTTGGGCAAGGACACAGGGGCCCCATGATCCCCTATTGCCCGGGGGCCCCATGAGTTGTCAGTCCGCCGCTGATTGGAGGAGCAAAGAGTTCAAGGTTCACAAGAAACTAGATACAAAGGAAGATTGTCCAAGGGATCAGACAGGGAGCTGTCCGGCATCTCAGATGGCACAGCAAGATGAGCCACAGCCAGACACTGCAGAGGTCATAGGTTCCGATCCAAACCTTAATTCACTGTTTGAATTACATCTGAGTTATATTATGCTACCTGGATTGTCTGTGTGGTATGGATTTGGTTAGCATACAATGAAAACTGTCAAAATGATCATTGAGCTGTTGTATATTACATGTGTCACACCCACATTTGAAGCCATAATATAGCGTATACTTCCATTTTTGTCAGATTAATTAAAAGTGAACACTCACGTCGGTTTCCATCAAGATATCAGGTTCAAATACCTCCCTTTTTTTTTTTTTTTTGCACAATTAACCATCAAACATTGCTTTAACAAGTTAGCAAGTCTTATCCATATGTGTAGTAGGATGGCAGGGTGTTGGAAATGTCATCGTAAATCAAGATAAGGCAGTACTAGTTGAATATTCTATGATACAGATGGTATTTTAATAAGGCATTTTAAGAGCAGATATGCTTCAGGCTGCGAAGGAGCCAGCTTATGGCACACCAACTCAATACAAGAGAGAACAAACAGTACGCCGAACATAAATTACGCTTACTAGCTGGACACTCACAACAAAAGAACCCTGATGTAGTTCTCCAGATGTCCTCTGTGCGCAGTACTGAGCATATACTATTTTAAGTCAAAAACTTTAACCTCTCCTCCACCACATTTTTTTTTAATTAATTGTAAGTATAGAACTTGATAATTAGCAACAATTTTAATGAGATCAACTGTGGTAAAACTGCAGAAAAAAAATAAAAATCTTTATCTTTTTAATGTTATTTTTTCCCCCTTTCTTGCTGTGTTCTTCGGCCTAATGTTGTTGCATTAAAGAGCTTTATTTATTCAACCACTTTAGCTCTGAAAGGTTTTACCGCTTCATGACCAGGCCATTTTTTGCTATTGGGCACTGTGCTACTTTAACTGGCAGTTGCGTGCTCAAGCAGCACTGTACGCAAATTAAATTTGTATCATTTTTTCATACAAACAGAGATTTCTTTTGGTGGTATTTGATTACCACTGGGTTTTTTATTATATAAATGGAAAAATCCAACAATTAAAAAAACAAAACAATATTTTCAACTTTGTTTTATAAAACATATCCAATTAAAAAAAAAATCTAATTTCTTCATAAATATGAGCCAAGATGTATTCTGCTAGGTGTAAAAAAAATTCCAATAATTATATATTAATTGGTTTGTGTTAAAGTAATAGCATCTACCATCTATAGTATTTATACTGGAATTTATGCAGCTATGATGGTATTCTGGTAATGTCGGTGATCAGCTTAAAGTGTGACTGTGACAGTGTGACAGTGTGGCGGGCAATCTAGCTGACACTGGCTGGGAGGGACACTAACTGACACTAACATCGCCTCCTGGCCCTTTAAGGGTTCTAGAAGCCGGGAGGCGGGGTGGGGTTTTAGGGTCATGTGACCACCATGATTCGCTGTCACGACGGTCACATGATCGGGAAAGGTTCCAATCAAAAGAGGAGATCGGGACCTTTCCGTGAGTACCAAACGTGTACTCAGATGATAATAGGTCTTGATAGAGCGCGGCATCTATATTTTCTTCATTTGTATACACATATTTATTTATTTATTTCAGGTACTTATATAGCGCCGTCAATTTACGCAGCGCTTTACATATATATTGTACATTCACATCAGTCCCTAACCCTCAAGGGGTGTACAATGTAAGGTACATATAGTAAGGTTTTCTTAAATTTGACTGCAAAAGGTGAAGCAAGCTTTGTGTGAAAATGACTTTATGCATAGCAATCCTTCAGACATTTATTACAGATTTGAAAATAAAACCGATTTGTTGCTGGTTACTGAAAAGCTCTACAATTGGAAGAAATAAAATAAATAAAATTGTATAGTATTTGTTCTAATAATACAGACCAAATACCAATGTTGCATTGTATCGCATTTCCACTTCTACCAGTTCAATGGTTTCATATTAAAGACATTAGATTGTCTTTTGTTGCACACCTTTGCTGTTTGCACTTACTCACATAAAAAGCAAGGCTGTTCCTACTACGAGGTGAAAAGAGGTTCTCGTCATCTCAAGTAGCCCCTTTGTAAGAGTAATACGAAACTAAGTTTTCCTCTTGACTTCACCATCAGTACAGGTCCAGCATACAATGGATGTATTCAAGCTCGGTGACTTGTGCTCTTACTAAAATGTAGTGAAGAAGAGGCGGCCACGTCATATCAAATTCAGTACACGCGGCCCCTGATTTACTATAGCAGTACAACATTTTCATTTTTTTTATTATTAATTATTTTTATTATTACATTTTAACACTTGGTACAGACAGTAACAAAAACCTGGCCATGATGGTATTTTGAAAAAAGCAATAAGATAAATGCCTTACAATAGTCAACAACAGACATTGCCTCGCCTAACATACACAGCGTGTTCATTTTCAAAGGGATTTTCATGTATTTTAGTGCATAAGGTGAAACAAAGTACAAAGAATGCCCATGTACCCAATAACGTGAAAAAAAAACAGGATTTTTGCTTGAACGTGATTGGATAATTGAAGTCAGCATAACTCTATTTTTGAGGGCACCTTTTTGCAACAACAACAACAACAAAACAATAATAATAAAAGCCAAATTAATTAATTAAAAAAAAAAAGTGCATTTATTTATTTATGCATAGTAGCCTGAGAAGCATTGCAACCATTATCAGTAGATCACAGACACAATGCTTTGGCTCCTGCAGACTTTTCCTGCAGTACATTGGTATGGACCTTTGGTTACCGGGTTGGAGGAAGTGTCAAATGACTCTAGTCCTTCAGCTGCAATGGAAGATGGTACATTTCTAACCACTTTAATACCGAGCACTTTCACCCCTTTCCTGCCCAAGCCAATTTTCAGCTTTCAGCGCTGTTGCACTTTAAATGACAATTGCACGGTCATGCTACACTGTACCCATATGAAATTTATATCATTTTTGTTCACACAAATAGAGCTTTCTACAAATATCACCCAAATGACCCCTTTTTGTAAATTAGACAATCCGAGGTCTTTAGTAAGAGGCATGGTGAAGTTTTTGAAGTTGTCATTTGTTTCGGAATTATTTTTCACAATTTTTGGAAAATGAAGAAATTCAAAAAGTAGTTTTTTTCACAATTTTTTTTTTTTTACATACTGTCACCAGCGCAGTGTCATCATATGACTGGTGTGGTGGTTATTGGGGACACTGACTGGTGACAGTATGTTTTTAAAAAAATAACATTAATACTTTATTTTCAAATTTTTTACACAATTTTTTTAACACACTGTGACCAAAGCAATACAGTGTTACCAGGGGCGGACTGACCATTTGGAAACTTGGGCACTGCCCGAGGGCCCGGGGTCAGTAGGGGGCCCCATGAGATGCCCCTGGTACTTTTTTCATAGGTTTTTTTGAGTTTGGGCAAGGACACAGGGGCCCCATGATCCCCTATTGCTCGGGGGCCCCCATGAGTTGTCAGTCCGCCCCTGAGTGTTACTATAGTAACATTGCACTGATCTGGGGAATTGATCAGGATTTTTTATTTTTTATAGATTATGATTGCTTATACCAGTGAGTTTTGCTGTTATCAACAACCATTTTGACTGAATGAAATTGATTAATTCAGTATTTACTATTGTGGTTTGCTGTGATTGGCCATAGATAATCACATGCTACAGATGGGCTGTGGTTGGCCCTGTCTGTACCATGTGATCTCTGTGACCAATCACAGAGATCAAAACAATAGTACACAATGGATGGCATGAATGAATGAATGCCATCCATTGTGTTCAATTGTCATGTTATCTGCTGTGATTAGTCACAGAGATCACATGGTACAGACAGGGCCAACCACAGCCCACTGATTGATCATCCATTGTGTCCGGTGGACACAGCAGGTGACAGCAGGGGTGGACTGACAACTCATGGGGCCCCCGGGCAATAGGGGATCATGGGGCCCCTGTGTCTTTGCCCAAACTCAAAAAAAGCCTAGGAAAAAAGTACCAGGGACATCTCATGGTGCCCCCTACTGACCCCGGGCCCTCGGGCAGTGCAAATGGTCAGTCCACCCCTGGGTGACAGATTGAGCTGCAGCGTAGCCCATGGTGCATATGCGAGGTGGGTTCTGGAAGGATGTCATATGGTGTCCACCTGGAATGGTGAATGTCCCGCCTGGCCAGCATTTGTCTATAGGCTGGGTGGGAACTGGTTATTTCACAGATCTCTGTGCAGGCGGAGCCAGGCACAGCCATGACGATTTCAAATCTGACAGGTGTAAAGATGACCATACATGGATTGAAATTTGGCTGCTTCAGCTGTAGACATTAGAAGGGGTTCCCAGATACTGAAAAATTATTTCCAGGGTTCCTACATGTCAAAAATGTTGAGAAAAAAAAGGCTGAGAAAGGCTGATGCAGAGAATGGCAGGGTTTTAAGCCATGGCACTCCCTTGGTTTTTAATGCGGAACTTCACCCTAAGGCAGACCATACGAGGAGCAAATTTCTTTCCTGCAGCCCTTGTATTCTCCCGACGAATGGAGGCCATCCCCAGCAGGAGAAGACAGTGATTATTGCTAGTGGCTATACCAGTTGCATGTAAAATGCAGTAGGTTGGTTGTATCCAAGCTAATCAATCGATCAGCTTGGGTACATTCAGCCTGCCCATACATGGTTCGAATCTTGGCTGGTTGCTGCTGAATTTTTTTTTTGGGGGGATGCAGGTTTCTAGTTTTGTCTACACCCCCCCTCCTTGCTCACAACCTCCTGGGACACATCACAGATCCCAAGAGGCTGCTGGACCATTCACAAAATGCAGTGCTACTCGCACATGTGTAGTGCGAAGCCAGCTGTGAAGACATAAGGAGTCACAGCCAGATTCCCACACTAGACATGCTGGCCCGACGTCCCGAAGAGCTAGCTTGGGTGAGGACAGCAGTGGATCCCTAAACAGGTAAGTGTCCTTATATTAAAAGTCAACAGCTACAAAATTTGTAGCTGCTGACTTTTATTTATTTATGTATTTTGCTGAGACTGAAGAACCTCTTTAATTTGGTTCTATTAATATATGGATGTTGCCTGGAGTTCTCCTTAAATCGGATGAAAGTCAAACAAGCTTGGGTGAGGACAGCGCTGGATCCCTGAACAGGTAAGTGTCCTTATATTAAAAGTCAACAGCTAAAAAATTTGTAGCTGCTGACTTTTATTTATTTATTTATTAATTTATTTTGCTGAGACTGAAGAACCTCTTTCATTTGGTTCTATTCAGGGGCGGACTGACAACTCATGGGGCCCCCGGGCAATAGGGGATCATGGGGCCCCTGTATCCTTGCCCAAACTCAAAAAAGGTACAGGGGCATCTCATGGGGCCCCCTACTCACCCCGGGCCCTCGGGCAGTGCCTGAGTCTCCAAATGGTCAGTCCGCCCCTGGTTCTATTAATATTTATTTATTTATTAATTTATTTTGCTGAGACTGAAGAACCTCTTTAATTTGGTTCTATTCAGGGGCGGACTGACAACTCATGGGGCCCCCCGGGCAATAGGGGATCATGGGGCCCCTGTATCCTTGCCCAAACTATGAAAAAAAGGTACCAGGGGCATCTCATGGGGCCCCCTACTGACCCCGGGCCCTCGGGAAGTGCCTGAGTCTCCAAATGGTCAGTCCGCCCCTGGTTCTATTAATATATGGATGTTGCCTGGAGTTCTCCTTAAATCGGATGAAAGTCAAACAAGCTTGGGTGAGGACAGCACTGGATCCCTGAACAGGTAAGTGTCCTTATATTAAATGTCAACAGCTACAAAATTTGTAGCTGCTGACTTTTATTTATTTATATATTTTGCTGAGACTGAAGAACCTCTTTAATTTGGTTCTATTAATATATGGATGTTGCCTGGAGTTCTCCTTAAATCGGATGAAAGTCAAACAAACACGAGCTTTGCAGGTAACTTTGATTTCTATAACCACTGTAGGAGAAAGGAAAAAAGAATAAAAGAAAAAAGTCTAAACATGTAAGCTGCCTTTTAATAATGATCATATTAAAAATTCAATAAATAGAAATATCTCTGATCTCTTAACACAAGCAGGCGGTGTACAGGAAATTAAATGAAAAAAAAAAACCTCTTGTTAATCCTTTTTGATTTCTGTAGGTAGTAGCTGGGAGCAGAATTCTTTGACTCCCTCAATTCGCTTTTAACATATTTTTTTAATCTGCGGCACATGAGTAATCAGGGCAATCTGTATGTACCCTGCTATTCTCTTCTAACAAAGGAGAGACAAAAAAAAAAAAAAAAAAAAATATATATATATATATATATATATATATATATATATATATACAATACAAAAAAGGAAGTCTTTCAATGTCTGTCTGCATTTTGTGGGCACGCAGGGTAGAATTAGTTTAGAATAGGTGATAACCTGGTATTCTTTATCTTGTTTTTTCTGCACCTCCCTAACTCCTGCCAACACTTCGTCTGGCTGTTAGTCATTTTAAGCATTCCCCATGAGTCCTAACCTTACTCCCTTTCTCTTCTTGTCAGCTGAAATGTTTCAGAGCTGTCACTGGCTTGTTGCTTATTGATGTTTCCATGTGTTTTATGTCTTCCCTAAGATATGACAGCCCCTGACACAGAGCTGATTTCAATCTCCCTGCTTGTGGAGAGGCCTACGACTTTGCTCTTAGAAAACCTAGCCACTTACATGCTTCAGAGACCAATGCTTGATAAAAATGTTTTGGTTCTGTGAAATAAAAGTGCAGCTCGCAAAGAAAGCATCAGCTAGGCCAGGACGAAGGGCGTATTAAAAAAAAAAAAAAAAAAAAAAATAGCTCTTCGGCGTTCTGGAAAGGAAAAGCAAAACTGGAGATTGACTTCTTTGGACAAAAGGTTTTGACATTGCATCAAATTCCCCCAGGCCTGGTCTGGTAGGATAGGTTTTGGTTAACATGGCTTTTCATCATATTGACTGAACAACATATATGTGTTCTACAGGCTTCTATTCCCAAAGTTTATTAGCTTGGGGTTTCATGTCTATTGAAACATGACAGACTGTCAAGGGCCTGTGATTGTAGAAGACAGTATAGTCAATTTCAATTCTAGGAGAAAAAAAATGGTTTAAACACAATGAGCAGATAGGCTAGATAGCATACAATGTGGACTGTATCCACTGAATGCAGAGAAAATATTGCGATATTTGCATTTGAGGGGCTAAAAATTAGTAATGGATGTACCATTGGTTCAGTCAAATATATTATCCATATAACAACATAAGGTTCACAATATAATAAGCAGCTTGGCAAATTTAATAGCATACGGTTTTTTTAATAATCACCTCAATTATGGGGCTGGTTACCTTATGCATTTGTATGATTTCCACAACAGATAACCAATGAAGAAGAATTCCAGGTAAATATATATTTACATGGTTACACTGGTCCAGCTTGGAGAGATGTAACTATGCATATACCATACCTGCGGGATCCCTCTAGAACAGGGTTTCTCAACCAGAGTTCAATGGACTCCTAGGGTTCCTCCAGAGCAGTGGTCCTCAACCTTCCTAATGCTGTACACAGGACCCGGAGGAAACCCACAAGACACAGGGAGAACATGCAAACTCCATGCAGGTGGTGTCATGGTTGGGATTCAAACCAGTGACCGTAGTACTGCCAGGCGGAAGAGCTAACCATTTAGCCACTGTGCAGCCCTTATTTGTGAAAGAATGGGTCGCTCTCAGGAGCTCAGTGAACTCAAGCGTGATACCATGATAGGTTGCCACCTGTGCAATACATCCATCTGAGAAATTTCCTTGCTACTAAATATTCCATGGTCAACTGTCAGTGGTATTATAACAAAGTGGAAGCAACTGGGAACAACAATAACTCAGCCACAAAGTGGTAGGCCATGTAAAATAACAGAGTGGAGTCAGCACACGCTGAGCGCATAAGTCGCCAATTGTCTGCAGAGTCAATAGCTAAAGACCTCCAAACTTCATGTAGCCTTCAGATTAGCACAACGACAAGAGAGCTTCATGGAATGGGTTTCCATGGCCAAGCAGCTGCATCCAAGCCTTACATCACCAAGTGTAAAGCAAAGCATCGGAAGCAGTGGTGTAAAGCATGCCACCACTGGACTCTAGCGCAGTGGAGATGTGTTCTCTGGAGTGACAATTCACACTTTTCTGTCTGGCAATCCGATGGACGTGTCTGGGTTTGGTGGTTGCCAGGAGAACGGTACTTGCCTGACTGCATTGTGCCAAGTGTAAAGTTTAGTGGAGGGGGGATTATGGTGTGGGGTTGTTTTTTAGGGGTTGGGCTTAGCCCCCTTTTTCCAGTGAAGGGAACTCTTAAGGCGTCAACATGCCAAGACATTTT